CCTCGGAGGTCAACGTTTGTGACAGTTCTGTTTTTATTATCAGGGGCGCCTCATCCATCCAAGTCTCCATCCTCGGAGTTCAAAGTCTGTATAAGAGTTCTGCTTCAGATCAGGGGCGCCCCATTAGTCCAAGGTTCCTTCATCGGAGTGCAAGGTCTGTGAAAGTTATGCTTGCACCAGCACCTCTCCGACACTCTCCAAAACCCTCTCAGCTTCACAAATACAAAGCTCGGAGAAGCGAAAAGGCTGCAAAGCAAACACATTCTTCAGCAACCCCACGCAAAACGTCCGACTGGCACCTGAGAGGCCGGAACCCTGAACCCAAAGACCCCCGAACCGGTAAAACCCTCATCGCAAAAACAAAAGACCAACAGGGGGTGTAGAACAAGGCAGACTGTCGTCTTGTCTCATCCCTTTCAGTGTGTGCCCGTACAGGCGGACTTGATGCACCAAAACCCTAAGCCCTCGCTTCGTGACAGTCCGCATGACCGATTGCATAAATCCTAAATCCCTTAACCTTAAAACCTAAATCCGGAGCCCTAAACACCAAGCCTAAACTTTGAAACCCTAAACCCTAAACCCTAATCCCTAAATCCCTGAAACCCTAAACCCTAAACCCTGAAACGCTAAACCCTGAAACACTAATCCAAAAAACCTTAAACCCCAATCCCTGAACACTTCGACCTTCCCTTGACGGCTGGACAGGCAGTTCTACTTGTAGAGCGAAGCCCCCAGCTCGTGCCACTCTCGGATGGGCTTTAAGGTGTAGGGTATTTAGCAGGGATTTTTAGGGTTATTTTGGGTTGAGGCCTTTTGGGACGAGGGTTTAGGGTTTCAGGGTTTAGCGTTTTTAGGTATCAGGGTTTAGGGTATTTTGCAGGGAGCTCCATCAAAACTTCAACAGCTTTTGATGCCCGCCGCCATCTCCCTCAGGTGGTACCTAAAAGAAGAGGAAGCATGGCATCCGGAAAGGTTTGAGTGATCAGGGATTAGGGTTTCGTGTTTCAATGTTCAGCAATTTAGAGTTTTCAGGGTCAACGGCTTCGAGGTTTAGAGTGCTCGTGCGGGTTTCGGGTCTAAGTTTAGGGTTTTGAGTTCGGGGTCTAGGGTGATTGATTCTGGCACTCTCTGCAGGCTTTGGAATCAAGATGCAGTTGTTTTGGATTCCGGAATCATGTGATATCGGGATCGGAGTTGGTCCTGTTATGCTCATAGTTGGTGTTGTGCCCAGGACCCTACGTTGTGGCGTTGTGTCCAGAACTCCTATCTGCGAGAACGATTCGCGGATACCCAGTTTAGGCTTAGTTAGAGTTGCGAATGGGCCATGGATTAATAGTTATGGCGGCTTCGCGGCAGGACAGCCGACGGCGGATGTGCACGAGCACAAAGAGCATCACATCCTTCGCCCTCGCGCTTGTGGTCATACTGTCCTGTCCCCTGGGTCCTGCAGAGATACATAAGTTTAAGCTACGGCCTCCACAACACTACAGCAAAATTGGCCCCTGTCTGAAAACCCAGCCCCTGCGCCCCCAAGCCCTAAACTTCGCTGCGCGCGTTCATTTGATTGGGTTCGCCTCATAAGGCACGAGCGGAGGAGGAGGATTGGAGCGACGATGCGACGTGGACAGAGAGGCTCTTTCTTGGTTTGGGGCGCGAGGTTTCGGGTGCTAAGGCTCATGGCCCGGGTTTGAGCCTTAATATTTCAGAATACTGAGTAAGCATTACTAGCTGTTGCTCCGATCCTGAGAAAAGTTCATGGACCCCAAAACCCGGTTCGAATTAGCTTATGCCTCATGGTACTTAGGGTTCCTGAACAGAATTGCAGTAGAACCTTGCCCAAAACGTGACTCTTGGTATTAAGGCTCCTATGTTTGGGTTCGTGTTGCATGTTCCGGGAGGACTAGCGGTTCGCGGAAGTTTGGTGCTATTTGAGGGTTAAGTTTAGGGTGTGTACGCTCTCCTTAAAGGGATCTATGATGCGCCTGGCGTTTAGGGTTGAGCCTACCTTTTTGAAGGTTCCTGAACATAAATTCCATTGCTAGATAAACTGACAGGTTGCTTGAGGTTATCGAGGTAGACCTGGAGCCCTAAACCTTGGTGGGATGGGGGTTGAGGTCCGACGTGCACGTCTGAACCCTTACCGAACCTTTCTAGCAACTCTAAAGAACCCCTCGGGCCCGTCGGACCCCCCGGATCTTAAAGCCCCAAGCACATGCCTAGGCTTCGCCGTGATTGGGTTTCGGGTTCGGGGTTTAGGGGTTTGGGTATAGGGTTTAGGGGTTGTGGGTTCTGGTTTCAGGTTCAGGGGTTTGGGTTTAGGGTTTAGGGGTGTGGGTTTCTGGTCTACAGGCTGGAGCATGACATAACCTCCCCAAAATAGCCCCTTTCGAAGCGTCAAGGCCCCCAGTTCAGAAGCGAAGCCCTTGGCATCAAAGGTCCCGGTTTTTCAAAGCCCCAAACCCTCGAAACCTTACACGCCGAACCCTACAACCCAAAGCGAATCCCTAGATGCCCTACAGCTTCAACTCTAAAGCTCTAAGAAGACCCACATGTTTTTTCGGAAACTAAGCCTTGTTTCTTCAGCCCTTTTCAAAGCCTAAGCCGTAAACCCTCAACCCCCAAAGCTCTATAGCCCTAAACACCAAAACCCCTAAACCCTCAACCTATCACCCTAACCCCCTACGCCGCTTTTCCACCGGCGGTGATGTTGGAGTTTTACTATAGGAAGGAAACCCTAGTGTTCATTATGTATCATATACCCTCTTTATGGCAGCTTATTAAGTTCAGTTCTTTTTTTGGGGGGTACCCCTAAACCCCTAAAGCCTTATGTCCCCATTATGGTAGCTGAGTAAATTCCCCTAAACCCCCAAACCCTATAGATTCCCTGAGAGGAGCTTTCAATGGCTCCCTTTCAGCAGCCTTCAGTTCCGTTCGTTTTGGGGGCGGAAGGTTTGGCCGAGCCCAGAGCACGGCGAGGCCCTGGAAGGCCCGCGCCCCTCTTAAGGGCTTCCTTCAAGGGGATCTGTGGGGATTAGGGTCTACGGGGTTCAAGGGCTCCCTTTATAAGGGATCTACATGAGGATGCCTTTAAGAAGTTCCTGTTGGGATGTATAGGAATTCGGCTGCCTTTACGGGTTCCTTTACAGGATCTCTGGGGTTTAGGGTTTGGGGCTGAGGGTTTAGGGATCACTTGGGTTCTATTAATGTTATAAGTGTTGGGTGCTTCGATATTTGTTGGTGGCTTAGTTGCTTTAGTGGTTTAGAGTTGACGTTTATGCGGAAACGGCTTGGGTTCCTTCAAGGGCTCCCAAAAGGGAGTTTCCGAAAATCGGTGACCCCCCAAAAAATAGTACCCTAAATAGTAGGACCCTTATTATAAGGACCCCAAAATACGGTACCCTAAGTTTTGGAAACTCCCAAAAGGGTGGGGCTTCAGAAAGGCTGTGCTAGAATTGTGATAAGGACCCCCCCCCAAAAAAAAAACACTGTATAGGTAGTTTTTTCGGCCCCTACTTTAGGGTTCTTTTAAGGCTCCCTTAAGGGATCAGGAACCCTGTAGGGCATCTATCTAAGTTCGTTTTACGGCTTCGATATTTCGTAATCAGGTTCAGGGTTGATGTAGGGTTTCTATAGGCTTGTTTTTCCGGTTTCGGGATTTCTTTAGGGTTTCCGATGCTTCGATGCAAGGCGCAGGCTTCGATCTTCTGCTTTTTCTAGGGCTCAGGGCTCAGGCCTTCGATTGCCTAGGACCTAGGAGAGCTGGGGCTTAGAATATAGATTCGGGTTTAGGACTTAGGGTGACATTAAGAATTTTACATGGTTACTATACCGGGTGGTTCTGGCAACTTAGGATCAGGGGTTTCAGAAGGGATTTTTGTTTGCTGCCAGGGCTCTGCAAGGAATCTATACGCTTTGCCTTTGGGTTTAGGGCGTCAGGGCTCGGACACAAACCTCAGAACTCAATTCTCAAAGGCATTAGATGAATCCCAGGCCCCGTTACCCTTTCATTCCCGAGAGTATCATCGTTACCTCTCATTCGAGATAATTTCGACCCTGTAGTAAGACCCTCACCGAAAAAAATTAGCACTCCCTTACCAAACATTATTCAACGCCCATATAGTATAGACACGAGCCTCCAGGTGCAATCCCAAATCCTACAAAACGGTAAGAATACCAACCCAAAATTCAGATGACGCTAGGCCAAATTGTTCGTTACAGTAGTTCTACTTTATACCATCAAGTATACCCCCCCCCCGCCAACACACACCCACACAGCCTATTCTAATTATCAAGGCCTCTATGTGAGCACCCTAAATTTGCGCGCAGGATGGTCTGGTCGGAAGCTCTTTGGACAGCGTCTACAACATGGGCCCGTCACCGGTCTTGGGGAATCCAGCTTCACAGGTGTAGAGGGCTCTTGATAATTTCAGATGCGTGGAGTCTTTGGGAATGTAAACCTGGACTGATATACCCCGCCTCCCTGAACAAGCCTCCTACTCCAACAGTCTAAACCCTAGAATACTACTGCATGAATCCGTCAACCTTCGGACCCGGACAAATCAAAACAAGAGACCCCTGATTTTTCAATGAGCCACCTTACTCTAGGGCCTTACTTGCATCATCTCCGAATCCTCGTTTCAGATGACAATTTCACCTAACCCACCCAAATCCGAACCCTGAACCTTGAACCTTAAGCCCGAAACTCTAACCCCCAAAGGGGGACCCGATTGTAGAACCCCGCAGTATGTAGTACTCTTTCAAGGGGGACCCCATTATTTATAAAACCCCGTACTTCCCCTCAAGGGCTGAAACCCTGCGTCCAAAACCCTAAAGCCCTAAACCCTTCCAGTGCCAACATGGACCCCTTAAAAAGGGAACCCTAAAAGGAACTGTCAAAGGAGCCCTAAACCCCTAAACCCTGAGCCCTAAAAACCCTGAACCCAAACCCTAAACCCTAAACCCCTAAACCCTAAAGCCCTAAAGCCTAAACCCCTAAACCCCTAAACTCTACAGCCCTAAACCCCCCCTTCCCCTGAGGTTTATGGGCTTGGATGCCTTGGAACTCCTGTGGAGCAGCCTCGAGCTGGAGGATTGTAGGGGAAGTCCCAGGTTCCCCCTTTAAGGTCTGGGGTTTGGGTCCCAGGTTCCCCGTTTTTAGGGTTTAGGGTTTAGGGTTTAGGGTTTAGGGTTTAGGGTTTAGGGTTTAGGGTTTAGGGTTTAGGGTGTAGGGTTGGGTTTTGGGTATAGGGTGTAGGGTTTAGGGTTTTGGGGTTTGGGTTTAGTTGAGGAAGTTGGTGCAGCCTGCGCCTATTATTGCCCGTTTAGGGTTCAGGGTTTTGGGTTTAGGGTTTTAGGTTCAGGGTTTAGGGTTTTTGGTTTGGGGTTTAGGGTTTTGGGTTTTGGGTTTAAGGTTTTAGGTTTAGGGTGTAGGGTTTTGGGTTTTGGGTGTAGGGTTTTGGGTTTAGGGTTTAGGGGTTTGGGTTTAGGGTGTCGGGTTTGGGGTTTCGCGTTTTGGGTTTCGGGCCTTAGGGTCAGGGTTAAGGGTTCAGGATTTAGGGCTTTAGGGTGCAGAGATAGTGCACTTTTGCACTTTTTCTTTCTGCCAAATGCGTAGTTCTCTAGATTGGGGTCCTTTGAATTCTTTTTATGAGGCTTCTGCACCATACTGCGGACCTTCAAAGGGACCCTAATTCAGCGAACTACACAGCTAGCAGGAACAAAAGAACCCTCAATAAGGGCCTAGACCCTAAACCCTAAACCCCAAGTAAGGGGCTTTACCCTAAACCCTCAACCCTAAACCCTAATCCCCAAGTAAGGGGCTAAACCCTAAACCCTGAACTTTAAACCCTAAACCCTAAACCCTAAACCCTAAACCCTAAACTCTAAACCCTAAACCCTGAACTTTAAACCCTCAACCCTAAACCCTAAACCCCAAGTAGGGGGCTTTAGTGGGGAACCTGGTTGGGCTGAAAGTCGGCCTGAGGGTCTGCCAATGGTAGGGCTTAGGTTTGGTGTGGTTTACCCATAGGCGACATAGTAGTTCTTTTTTCGGATTACCTAATACGACTCTAAATATGAACCCCAAGAAGGAACTACTATGGGGCCTATGGGTACGGATTTAGGTTAAGCGTGTTAGGGTTTAAATTAGGGTTATGGGGGCTTAAACGGGAGTCCTGGCTTCTTAGCTTTTTGTGGGCTTTCGGTTGTGTTTTTGTATTGTGGGGCTCTTGCAGAGTTCGAAGGCAGGTTTCGGGTGTTGGGTGCCTTTTGGAGGGCTCTGACGGGTTTTCAAGGAGTCATGATCTAAACCCTAAACCCACAGCCTTCAAAGGAATCATGATCTACAGCCTAAGCCCTAAGCCCAAAGCCGCTTAAAGGAGTCATGATCTACACCTAAACCCTAAACCCTGAACCTTTCACACAGTCATGATCTTTAGCAGTTGTTGTTTCTTTCCTGGTGTTCAGCTTGGCGGGTTTTGTGGTTGAGGGTTTAGGGTTCAGGGTTCAGGGTTCAGGGTTCAGGGTTCAGGGTTTAGGGTTTAGGGTTAGGGGTTTAGGATGCTACTAGTGGGGCTGTTAGGATGCCGAGTTTGAGTAGGAATGTAGGACTTGCACTCCAGGGTTCAGGGCGCAGGGGTTGGAGTCGGAGATTGGTATGTTTTTTGCTTCTGAGTCTCTAAGGCTTCCCAAAAACAGTTAATATAGGGGCCTCAATGATTACCTATTACCTATTTTATTTCGGGGCTCCTATAAAGCCCCCCCCCCCCCCCACACCCTATTCGAATCATTAAGGCCTCTACATTAGGGCTAAAGCTGCCAGGGTCGAGGATTGGGTTAGTCTCTGATTATCAGTTCAAGATCAATCCAAGCATGCTCGAGGAGCTAAACGCTAGAGCCCCCCAAAAGGTGTCCGGGCCTAGAACCCTAAATCCCTAAACCCTGAACCCCTAAACAACTAAGCGTTAAACCTTAAACCCTACCTTAGGGCTTCACCTATAGAACCTTAAACCCCTAAACCCCTAAACCCTAAACCCCTAAACCCCTAAACCCCTAAGCCTTAAACCTTAAACCCTACACCCTACATTCTAAGGGCTTCAGAGGGCCCCCTGCTTCCGATAGCCGCTCCTGAGAGGAGACGGTCGAGGAGGGGGAGAAGGAAGAGGAGGAGGAGGAGGAGCCTCGGCGTCTTTGGGGTTCAGGGCTTAGGGTTTAGGGTTTCAGGTTTAGGGTTTGGGTTTAGGGTT